CTCGTTCAACACGATGACTAAGACTGAGTAAACAGGGTAACACTACTGATACTTGGCTTGGGCCTTATTTCAAACAAACTAAAAACAGAAATGGGTTAACCCAACATAGTAAACAGCCCAATAGTAATGACATATGAGAACTTTGGAAACCCTAATGGGAGGATGCATAGTGGTGGTGGATGGTTGTGTCCCCATGCATTGGTGTTAATCAGCTGATGGGAGGTTCTGGTTTTACAATATATCTTCGGAAATTGACTGAAATAGCCGACTAGGCCTTCCCTCTTCACTTTATAGCCGTCTTTTCAACAAATTGACCGAAATAGCCAGAGATTATGCTTTTTCAATGTACTATTAAGAAAAGTAGACATTATGCAAGTTTGTGTAGCTTAAGGGTTACTTGCATAATGTCTATGTTCTTGTCCATGTAGACATTATGCAAGTAGCACTTATCCAACTTGCGTGTTGTCAACTTTTTCTGAATATTATATTGAAAAAGTGGGTTATAGCAAGGGGCTGGTTGGTTGGTTTTCCATTAGTTCTTGTCTGGATAAAGCTGTCTGTGTCGATTAACCTGTCGGTATATATATGAAAGGTTTTTGTTTGGGAGGGTTGTTTCATAGATTGAAGGAGCATGTTTGGAATTTCTTTTGGCTTTCATAAATCTCATCCCTAGAAGCTTACTGAATAAGCCACTATCTATATCATTAAGATACTATCAAACAGTCATGTATAGCTGACTGAATAAGCTGTGAGTCCATTAAGCTCATTAAGTTGCTAGCAAACAGGCCCTAACTGCCACCTGCATAATTAAATTTGGCTATTTCAATTATTTTGTTAAAATCGTGGCTATAAAGTGAATAGGGGAGGGGATCAAATCGGCTATTTTGGACAATTTTCCTATATCTTCACTTTTATTAAATTTAGAGGGATGGTGTTTTTCCAACAATTTATTGTACCATGGGTGCTCTCTTGCTGCGTTTTCTTTCTCGCAATCTGAAACCATATCATGTTTTCTTACTGTAATGAAAGTTTCTGCCGCCATCTAGGGCTGCACGTGGGTTGGGTTGGTCAGGTTGTGACAAAATACTTAACAACATTGCAACAAAATACTTAAACAACCATTAGTCATTGCTACGAGTTAATTGACCTTTTTTGTTACGGCTAACAAGGAAAAAGTGAGGCCATCGCCAAATTGCAAATAGGAAGTATTTACAGGTTCAATTGTGATACACTTATGAACAATGCTAATCAGTTGTCTGCCACGGCCATACAGACCAGAGGCATCGCTATCAACATATCTAGCAACACATGCTTATAACGTATAAGAGGGGTATCAGGTCCATACTCCATCGGATTGGGTTGGGTTCAAATGGGCCTAACCCAATTCCAATTTAATATATATTAGTTTGAAGATTTTACAACTCGATCAGTTATCAGGTTGGTTGATCAGGTTTTTGTGCACCCCTACGTGCTACCTGCTTTTTAAATCGCATTATCATCACTGTCTTTTCATTACTTTCCAAGATTTTTCATGTACCTTTTTGTTCATGCTTATAGAGTTGGTGAAAAAGCATTTAAAGAGTTGGGAGAGGTTACAAGGGGGTTTCCTACAACACGCAGAATGCTGTTAACAAGTTTATTGATGCCATTATATTTTCCCCCTTCAAGGTACTCATCAGGTTCGAACAATCCATCTTTGAGCAATTATTTTTCAAGCCTTCTAGAAGTGTTCATTTACTTTTTCTGGCATGAAATTTACTTGACTAAAATATAACCATACATTTTTTATAATTCTTATTTCTTTTGACCCATGTGATGTGCTATACTGCTATTTGGGTGAACCCTAAACCCTATCTGGGTGATTCACTTGCGATTGGGGTGTATTCATGTATTGCCGTATTGGTCCCTATAGGGTGCAGGGTTTAGTGTTGATCGGTTAGAGTTTTGTCCTTTTGGTATGAATAAAACTTGAATAAACTATTATAATACAATCTAATAATTCTTATTTTTGACCCATATAATGGGCTATCTGCTGATTCACGTGCAATTGGATTGCTAATCATGTTTTGGTCCCTTTAGGATTTAGGAGGGTTTAGGGTTTGATGTCGATCAACTAGGGTTGTGTTTACTTGCCATTGACCAATCCCTGAGCCATTACACTTTCATTTGAGAATTTAGAGATGCAAAAAATGCCAAACTCCGAAGCCCTCCTGAAAAGCCTGGACATAATAAAGCCTAGTCTAGGCGCAGGCCCAGGCCCGGCCTTAAAGCACGACTATTCCAACCTTTTCTTTTCAAAGTCCTGATTAAAGCCTGGAATAAGTCCAATCAGACCCTCTTTTAATCCCAAAGCCCCACCCGGCCTGTGCCTGAAAAAGCCAATGCCTTTTTTTGCCAAGTCCAAAAATGCCCTGGCTTTCTGCATCTCTATCTTAAGATCTCTTTCTTTCTAATTCATATACAAACTTGGGTTGTGCAGCTTATGCTTTAGGAGACCCGTCTGTGACAATTGAACAAGTAACACCTGTTGTTATTCCTTCGGGGGCACTTTTTCCACCCGAGGTTTGCATCAAATGTCTCTGCTTCATCGCTTCTTTTCTTCCTCTTCTTGAAGTAGTTCTCTTGTATATTTTACATTTTTACCCTTTATAATGGATGTTTATGGCAGGTAGATTGATATGTGTATGCTTGGCAGGAAAGAATCGTCAAGCTATTTGAGAACAACACTTACTCTGTTGTGAATATATTTGATGTAACTCTACGGCCTCAACTTAACATTACGGGGGCGGTTGAGGTAATTGTGAATGAACATATTGTAAACATGCCCGTTTATCGGCTTAATATTATATTCCATCCGTCCCAAAATAAGTGTCCTCTTTAGAAAGTAAATGTCTATTTTCCCATTATACCCTTGATTACATTATGTAGAAAATTTCACTCTTTTATTAAGGGTAAAAGTGTCATTTAGTTAATTACACCTTCCTAAAATTATGTTTAATTTTTATTGGAGTAAATTACAATTTCCATCCATGTGGTTTATTAATAATTTCGATTTTCATTCCTATGCTTTGCAATTTATTGCGATTTTCGTCCTTGAACTAATTCCTAACTTTAAATACAATGGACAAAATAGTAAAAATGGTTTACCACAGGGAGTGAACAACAATAAATTGTAAATCACAAGGACGAATATAGCAATGAATTACAAACCATAGGGATGAAAACAGTAATTTTTAAACCACAGGGAGGAAAATTGCAATTTTTAACAAACCATAGGGGCGAAAAATGTAATTTACTCTTTTTTTTCTGTGGACATTTATTTTGGGATGGAGGGAGTAATTGGATGGAAGTAGTTGTCTGATATGTAGATCATTGGCAGATTCCTGAAGGAAATGGTTCTGGAGTTGTTTGGGATGAAGAAGGGCACATTGTCACAAATTACCATGGTACGGTGTATCTTTCCTGTTATTGGAACTTCAAAACAAGATATATCTAATGATATTTTGTTGGGAAACTTGTATGAAAATGCTACTTACTTTGGTATGATTCCTATTTTGTGTAACGTAATTCCAGAACATTCATTTTGGTACCTAAATTGTGAAATCTGAAACATTTAGACCAAAGTACGTTACACAAAAATGGGAATCGGACAAAAGTATCTTTCTTGTTCATGCATTCTTAGATGTAAACTAAGTACCTAAATGTTTGATATGTCACATCTGAGGAGGTTAACATCATAAATAACCATATTAGGAAAAACTTTTACTTTTTAGCCTCCTCCAGACTCTTCTTTTTCCTCATAAAATAGCCAAGAAACCACAAGTCAATGCCACAAGGCACTTTTCCTTGCGGTTTCTGACATTTTCGGACGCACCCTGATGGAAAGTGCGCACACCGCAAAAATAAATTGAGGCACCGCAAGAAAAAGTGTCTTGTGGCGTTGACTTTCGGTTTCTTGACTATTTTATGAGGAAAAAAAATAAAATGGTGGCTATAATCTAAAGCTAATTTTATGAGTTGGCCATTTAAGATGATAATCCCATTTGAGGTGCCAAAATGAAGATTTCGAAAGTAGGTTAAATAAAAAGGAATTGAATCCAAATATGTTGCAACTTCATGCCATTTCTCTTTTTTATTTGCAATAGTAATTAATCTTGAGAGGGTTGTTTCTAAAATTTTCTGGATCTTAAGTGGACATGTAATACATACCATATATTGTTCTATATTCTTTAAGGGTGTGTTTGGTATCCAGACAAGGCAGAACATGACATGACAATTGTTCAGTTTTTGATAAGACAGAACTAGACATGACATAACATGTGAAATGACCAAGCTACCCCTTATGAATTGTTTATAGAACCTGATAGAAAAATTATTTGTTATTACTTAAATTAATCAAAATATAGAAACCATGTAAAAAATAATATTTTGAGAACAGTTAAGTGAAAGTTTAACGAGCATAAAATAGTAAAATACAATAAATACAATTTGAAGAATGAATAAAATGTAAAGAGGGAGGTGTATTTGATGTTTTAAGGAATTAGGTTTTATTTTGAGGTTATATTGGTAAAATATAGGTCTGTTCCACCTTGTTCCATGGGGTGGGAGTGGAACATGCTAGTTCCACTTCGTTCCTGTCTGTTTCACATAAAAGTCTTGCCAAACATGGAATAGTGATCCCTGTTCTGTTTTGTCCCATGAACCAAACGCACCATAAGATCTTTTCTCATCAAGTTTTTCCTCATCTTGTTTGATTATGGTGTTAGGACGTGTTTCTTTCTCGTTTTGATTCATAATGGCGTTTTGAGTTATTTGTTGGACGCAAGTTACACATTTTATCGAGTCCAAAGTGTCTAGCAATAGCCGATCATTGTTGGTATAATACCATCGGTGCTAGTTGTTGACCATTGGCATGTGACATACATAGCACTAACTACTCGTATCGATGTCTAGTTATCGGCAATTCTCTATCAAGGAATCCAAAACTCGGAGAAGTTGTTGCACGTGTTAATATTCTTGCCTCAGAAGGGTGAGACTGCTTTTTGGTCTTATGTTATATTCAGTACTTCTTTCGTCCCAAAATAAATGTCCACAGTGAGAAAGCACACAGTTTTAGAGATGTGTAATTGTTACATTTTTAATTAACTAAATGGCAGATTTGCCCTTAGTAATAGAGGGAGTAATGAATTTTTCCATCTCACAGTTAAGGGTAGAATTAGAATGTAAGCACTTACTTTTGAAAGTGGATTATTATTTTGGGACAAAATAAACATAGAAATGTGGACACTTATATACACACACACATATATGTATAGGGTCAGATTAATGGGAAAACCGCAAAAAAAAGAAAAAACTGAGGAACACCCTATTAACCCATTTATATGTACGGTATACACATGTGCATACAAGTAATTTGTCCGGTATGCACATGTGCATACAATTCCTTTTTTGTATGCACATGTGCATACCGTACAGATGAATGGTTATTACGGTGTTCCTTAGCTTTTCATTTTTTGGGGGGTTTTCCCCTAAACCTCTCTCCCTCCCTCTCTCTCTCTCTCTATATATATATATATATATATATATATTTTATATATAGTACTGTCTCACCACATTCCTTGTTTGTAACATATTGAAAGGGTACAAAAGAATTTTGAAGGCAAGTTAATTGGTGCGGATCGCTCCAAGGACCTTGCTGTCCTAAAGGTAAACAAATATTTCAATAGTGTTTCGTTCGTGATAGTCTTTTTTTCTGGATTTTGCTACTTTCTTGATTGAGCACTTGCACCAAAAAGTTATGTAGTTCATACATCTCTCTTCTACCATTTTTCTGGTAAACACTTTTTCGGCTTTAATTGATAGCACACATACTCTTGTATTAGAAAATAGATTCTCTTCTTCAACAAAGCTTGCTTTGTGACACACGTGTTGGTTTGTAAAATTACATTTAGCTCTAACAGTTTCTCCATTTTGGAGATTCCAACATTAGTTACTTCTTCCATCCTTAAATAATTTATCCACGTTTAGGTTAGGGCTTGTTGAGCAACTTAATGAGACTCGCAACTTATCGGTCAGCTATACATGACTGTTTGGTATTGGCTTAATGATATAAAAAGTGACTTATTGAGTAAGCTTCTAGGGGGGAGCTTTATGTAAAAAGTCAAGTTTCTTTTGTTCTTTCCAAACCTTCCCCTCCCAATTAGAAAAAACGCTCCTTCCATCTATGAAAAAACCCTCCGAAACAAAAACCTTTCCTATCTATACTGACAGATTAATCCACACAAACATCTTTATCCATACAGGACTTGATGGAAAACCAGCCAAACAGCCCCTTAGCTTGTCCCAAAATAAGTGAGGTTACAATTGTCATTTAGTTGAGTGAAAAGTGTAATAATTACACATTTCCATAACTCTCTGCCTTTTTTCATTACAGACACTTACAAAGGGTATTATTAAAACATTCATTAATATTAAAAAAGTCGTTCTCTCCCTCCATTTAATTTTGGAGGGTCTCCAAATTTGTATAATTTTGCCCACTCTTTCCTACTTTTGTCCATTTTGTAGAAAAAAAAGAGTGTAAAAACTACAAAAATCATTTTTTTTCCTCGTTTTGGAAGAGCTGTTGGAGTTGCTCTAATGCTTCTTTATATTCTTATATCAATGATTTAGGTGGAAGCACCCACTGAGCTGTTGCGGCCGATGAATGTGGGTCAATCTTCTATCTTAAGAGTTGGACAGCAGTGTTTAGCCATTGGAAATCCATTTGGGTTTGACCACACACTCACGGTAGGGGTTATTAGTGGTCTCAACCGAGACATATTTAGTCAAACTGGAGTCACGATCGGTGGAGGAATTCAAACAGATGCTGCTATCAACCCTGGAAACAGGTTCCTTTTCTTCCATTTTCCTAAATTATACCTTTTAGTTTTTACCAATTTTAGGACTGAATGTTTGTAATACGAGTGTCCTTGTTTACAAATTGATCAATAGAACAAGCATCCACAATTCTCATACGTAGTTTTTGTTGTTTCCTTTTGTAAATATTAAGAATCTATACGTTATATTGTTTGCAGTGGAGGCCCTTTGCTGGATTCTAAAGGAAATTTAATTGGGATCAACACTGCAATATTCACTCAAACAGGTATTTTTGTATTATTTTTTTGTTTGTTGAATAATACTACTATCGGGCCAGGTTCAAATGAAAACTGCAAATGTTTTGAGAACATGAGAACCAACTATTCATGATGAATATCGTGATAACTATTCATGATGAATATCGTGATTGATATTCATGATGAAAATGCATGATATTCATGATGAATAAAACGCATGAAATTCATGATGAATAATGAATAATGAAAATGCATGATATTTATTAATATTTAGGGTTATCCATCATGAATAATTATCAAAATAGTTGGTTTTCTGGTTCTCAGAATATTTATGGTTCTTATTTGAACTTCCCCTACTATCGTCAATTAGATGATATTTCTTTCAAATAGTGTAGCAATGTACGTTGAAGAGCACACTACATAGACTCAAAATAAACACTACGGATGTCTCGATGTCACGTTAATTCCAACATATTCTTGAATTTACAGGGACATCAGCGGGTGTCGGATTTGCCATCCCTTCCTCAACGGTGGTCAAGATAGTACCTCAGTTGATTCAGTTTGGGAAAGTAAGTTATTAGCCTCTCACACTTTAATTCATCCTGGAATATAAAACCAAACTAAACAAACCCAATATATCCCACTATGAGTTAAGGTCTGGAGGTAGGATGTACACAAATTTTCGTTTATTTCGAGACTCGAGAGATGAAGGCCATTTTTAGCAACCATAAATTTTTCGTGGTGAATTGAAAAAACCCCATTTGGTTAGCCATAAGCTAGCATTTTGAAACGCTACTAGCTCCAAGATTTTTTTTCTTCCAATTATGCCTCTTATATTTTTCCAATTAATTTTTTAATGTTCTTTTAGGTCTTTTTACATTGTCATTTAGCCTATCAACCAGTTAGGGCATATCGGTTGAAGTAGATTCTTTTTTTTATCAATCAAAACCCCTTCCCAAACTGTACAAGCTTCTTCCAAAGCATACGGCTTTCTGGATGTAGATGGTTATCAAACATGACTAGTTTATATGCTAGTTTATCAACCTACATATAGTTTATCAGACAACAACTTGCTTATCAGCTAGTTTGTTAGACATGGTTTAAATCAACTGCACCTCATAATGTAGTCCAAAAACCATTTTTCTATTCACAAAGACCCGATTGCTTTGTGGGATTTGGTAGAATTTGGCATTGAATTCCATTCCAGTCCTGTGTTTCAATGAAATTCCACAACCAACGGGTTTAGAAATCCCTTGGAGATGGTTGTCAATTCAAATCCGAATCCCGTAGATTTCAGTTGCTTCCATCCCATCTCTACCCCACCTCTTTCACTGAGTATGCCCTAATTTCTCTATCGCCTCCAAACAAATAAATATTTAGAAGAAGTTAAATTCCATTCAAAATCCTACAAACCAAACAAGATCTATAAAAGAATGGAATTCAATTCCATTTCAAATTCATCCTTCCAAGAAATCCAAATCCCACAAAAACATTATGTCTGTAGGATTTGAATGGAATTACACCAAACGTGCCCTAAGATCTTTTCGTTTCAACTCCATCTTAGTTTTCAGTGTTTAGCAGTTTGCTGCTGCATTGATTTCATTTGCCATCGATCCATCGCTAAACTAGTTTTTGAATATTCACATCTGGATTATGTTTGTTAGGTTGTTCGGGCTGGTTTGAATATCGAGATTGCTCCTGATCTCGTTGCAAATCAACTTAACGTCCGAAATGGAGCTCTCGTTCTGCAGGTAATGATCATCGCCACTAGCAATGCTGGTTTGTGACTTCATAACATGTTCAATGATGTTTTTTTTGGTGGCATTTAGGTTCCGGCAAATAGTCAGGCAGCAAGAGTCGGTCTTATTCCCACCACCAGGGGATTTGCTGGTAATATTGTTCTCGGTGACACCATTGTAGCAGTCAACAACAAGCCCGTGAGTTTTCTACCATACTTTCTCGACGTGTTTATTAACTTATAACTGAAATGGGTCGCAAATCATCTTAGGCTATATTTGGCAAACTAGCTGAAAAGCTAGTTGTTGGCTGATAAACTATAAACTAGATGACAACGTAAAGTGACTTGAAAGGAAAACAAAAGAGGGCATTATGTAAAATATAAGGGGTATAATTGGAAATAAGTGAAAAAAACCCTAATAAGCCATCTGAAGTTACTTTTCAAAAACCTAGCTTATGGTTTACCAAGCGGGTTTTTTTCCAGTAAACTAAAAAAATAAGCTAGCTTATTGTTTTACCAAACAAGTTATTTTTTTTCTTTCATTAAGCTCAAAAAATAAGCTAGCTTATGGTTTTACCAAACGCCCAATAAACTCAAAAAATAAGCTAGCTTATGGTTGTCAAACATGGCCATAAGAAACACCATTACAATTATTTAAAAATTTGCTTGATTCCATTTGTATGAAAGATAAAGATGCATGCATAGTCTAAACCCCGAGAATATGCCTATAGAACGAGCAATACATTTTTATACAAAATTTTATTGGATCGACAGCCATCCATACCCCAACGAGACCTATCAAAAGAAATTTACTCGCATAGTTCCGGATGTCATCGCAAGAAAGATAAAAGATACATAAACCAAACTAAGGGGCTGTTTGGTTGGTTTTTCATTAAGTCCTGTATGGATAAAACTATCTCTGTGGGCTAATTTGTCTGTATAAATTGAGAAAGTTTTTATTTGAGAGGGTTTTTTATAGATGGAAGGACCATGTTTATAAATTGGGAAGGGTTCAAGCCCATAGAAGCTTACTGAGTAAACCACTTTCTATATCATCATGCCATTACCAAACAGTCATGTATAGCTGATCAAATAAGCTGTGAGTCTCATGAAGCTCGTTAAGCAACTAACAAACATACCCTAAGACTAGTAAATCTCTAGTAAGAAGGCTAAGGGAGGGACTCTTACTCGGTCAGTGATTAATGTTGACCCAGACTATTGTACGGTTAACCGTTAATCTGATAATATGCATTGTGTTGGTTTGTTCAGGTTAGGAATAAAGCAGAGTTTTTAAAAACATTAGATGATTACAGTGTGGGAGACAAGGTTCAATTAAAGTTGCAAAGGGGTAATGAGACCTTGGAGATGCTTATTGCTTTAGAGGAGACGACTTCATGAGAACATATTCCACAACTACCCTTTTGATGCATTTGGTTTTGTATATTGGATTAAAAATCACATTTACAACTTCTTATAATATTGTTTTGTAAATTCTATGGCTAAATGTATGAAATAACAGTCTGTTTTCATTACTTTTTTTATTATAACATTGTACTTACAGTTTAGAATCATTTCAACTTTTTAATTATCCATCATTAGGGGTGTTCGTGGTCCGGTTTGGACGGTTTAACCTCTTAGACTACAAACCAAACCGTAATGGCTGTATTTTCTCTCATACTTGTATTTTTAGTTTGATTAGATGTGGGTTATACTGAGTTGAGTATGTTTAGTCATGAGTATTATTATAAGGTTGATTTAAAGAATTTTCAATTTTTGTCTTCAAGATCACATCAATCAATAAACCATATTATTTTAATAAATACATTATTTAATTATTTATGAAATATAATACCCATCTTTGACAGCTCTTTTAATTTTTTTTTTCTATTTTAATATTTTAGATGCTTTTTAAATATAAAATTTTATGTCATGACATAATTTTATGTCCTCGTTATTAAGAGTCCGTTTATCAAATATATATCGGTAAGTGTTTGTCGGTAAAATTTAACGTAATCATTTACTTAGCATGTAAGATTTTAACCAAAGGGACTTTGGCCTAGCGGTATCGTAGCCTTTGGCTTCCTAGAAGGTCAATGGTTCAAATCTCATCAAAGGTGAGGAGGGTGTGTGAGTTTATTTGTTGTATTTGCCGTATATAAATATTATATACTTAAAAAAAAGATTTTAGTCTGCAAAAACGACCTCGTATACAACAATTTACCCATTTACCCAATGAGCGTTTACCATGGTAAGAATTGTCATCCTCAATTACCGGGTAAGACTCTTGATCCTTATGTCCTCTTACCGGGTAAGATTATTGGTAATGTAACTTGGTAAATGTTTACTTTGGTAAGCGTTTGATAAATAGCCCTTTAGTTTTTTTGGTGTCGATTTTAATTTATAGAATTCCTTAATGCAGAAAATTAATTTTTAAAATGTATTTTTTTAACATATTTAAAAATTATATAAAAGAAGACTATAAGACAAAAGGAAGCTACCTCACGTTTCGCATATTCATAATATCTCTTTTTTTTTTTTTATTCGAGTAAAATATTTGAGTGTTTAATTAAACGAGTGATGTTTCGGTGAGAATGAAAGTTATGGTGAAAAATGGTCTTTATCATTGGATCAATATTAATTGAAGATCAACAGTAATACGGTGCACCGACATGTACTGGATCACTTCCCATGGCAAGCGCAATTTATGAGATGGAAGTGATATTAAAAGTGATCAAAAGTTCATACCTATTCTTACGTTTCTCATATTAAGGGGGTGTTTGGGATTGCTTATTTAAACCAACTTATGCTTTTTTGTAAAAAGTGTTTATTAACTTATGTGGTATTATACCGGAGTTTTGTAAAAAGCTGATAAGTTGTTTTTTAATGTTTGACAAATTTTACTTATATATGTAAAATGACAAAAAAAAACAGTCTTTCATATTATTGACTTATGGGAGTGTTTGAGATTGCTTATTAACTTATTTGATTTTTTAACATGTAAAAATTTACGTTTCATCATTTATAATAATTTCGTTGACAAAAATTTATATCAATAAGATTAATAATTTATATCAATAAGATTAATAATTAACAAACATTAATAAAACATGGTTAAAATGGTAAATTGTTGATAAACAGTTTTTCGTAAGTCATGAAGGATTAACTTATCAAAAACTGCTTATTACTGGTTTGGCACCGGTATAAGCAGTTTTATTTTTCCTCATCCAAACGCTAGCATCTAGCTTATCACCGGTGCCAGACTGAAATAAGTAAAAAAAATCACCTAAAATAAACAATCCCAAACACCCCCTAACTCCTATTCGTACACAATCATTCGTCTTAATTAGATAATACTCATCAGTTCCAATATAAATGTCTGCAATTCTGGTTTAATAAAAATACAGATTCTTTTTATATCATCAAAGATAAAATCGCCCTTTAGTTAATTGAAAATATAATCTTCATTATGAACGTATATTTTGAAACCAAAAAGTGCATCGTTCGTAAAAACCGACAATTATATACAAGATCTCGGTATTTTAGAACGTTCCGTTCATTTAACCCATCCCTTATTGTATTCATAAAATTCTATCTAGAATCTTGTCTCCTCTTTACCCAACATTCCTTGCAAACAAATTTTACTTCTAGACTGTAAAAAATCAGTTTTGATAAACTTAGTGGTCACAATTGTTATGTACAACTGAAATCGACCGATCAGATGGGATAAATATAATTTTTAAAGGCTACTAAAAATAATATTAAGCTATATACTTTTTCATGCAATTTATCCTTAAAAAAATAATAAATCTTGAAATATTTTAAAAAAAATCTTCCACATTTAGGGGCCGTTTACCAAGCTCTTACGAAGTAACATTACCTCAACGTATGAATATGGTAAGAACCAAGAATCTTACCTGGTAAGAGTGAGACAAGGACCAAGAGTCTTACCCGGTAAGTGTGAGGGACAACTCTTACCACGGTAAACGCTTACCGGGTAAATTGTTGCATACGATGTCGTTTTGGTGGACTAAAATCTTACCCGGTAAGTAAATAATAGTGTTTAGTTTTACCGGTAAACACTTACCGGACAAGTGTTTGGTAAACAGCCTCTCAAAATATGATGATGGCAACACCAGACTAATTGCAAACTAGCAGTCAATTTTAGTCCATTTTCTTGTTCAACTGCACCTTCATTTACAGTTGGGTGAACCATATTTCTTTTTTTTTTCTTTAAAAAATTAATTTATAAATTTAATTTATGTTATGAAAAATTAAATTAAACATTTAATGGTTTTTGTTAAATTGTCCCACAAGAAAAAGGGGTGAAATTTTCACAACAAATATGTGTTAATAATATCTAGTATGAACAGTTATTCGGTTTCTATATTTTTTTCGATTGATGTTGATAAAATGTGTTGTGAAACGTATCAAAGAGTTCACATTCGACAAACAAAATAGTAACACACGTTAAATCCACTACGAGACAAATATTTCAGCCAAATATAAAAGACAAAAACGTAAAATAGCTATGGTCGATTGCCTTATGGACCTCTGTTTCACCAGCAAACGGTTTTAACTGTTTATTTTTTTTTATTTGAATAGATGTTTAGGGACTGACCTATGAAAGTCCCAAACAGAGTCTTGTGCACCCGATAAATTAATCAAAAAACTGAAAAAGACCCTCGAAGTTAACCAAAAAACTCAAAAAATCCTTCGAAACATGGAATTTGCTTAAAAACACATCGTTGACTTTATGAGTCTTTAATCCACCTTAAAAGTGCACCTACTCGGCAAAGGTCCTCCCCTGCAAATGTTATTGCTTCATGTTTTCTATATATTATTATAAGGTTTTCTTTGTAGAGTAATCTAATAAAGTTCCACATTCTAATATGGTATCAAAATCGATGTTTACCATCTTTACAAAGTCAACACTTTAGAAAATCTACATTCGTGAAGGGCTTTTGTATAAAGTAATCTGATGTGTGTCCATATATCTCATTATATATATATATATATATGTATGTATGTATGCATGCATATATAAACTTGGGATCATGTGAGACCAATGGTTTTTCATGAGACCCGTAAGACCAATTCTCAACCATTAGATTAGATCTACAATCTAAACATTCATAATCACAAAATTGCCATCATGCAACTTTAGACCATTAGATTATTAGCTTATAAAGTTTATCAATAAACATAAATTAGTCTTACAGGTCTCACAAAAAACCCTTGGTTTCACGTGAACCCAATATATTCTCAATATCTCCCTACATGGATATAAAAAAAAAACAATTCAATATATACCAAATTTACCCTTGCATCTTGTCTTGATAGGATAAAAAATATTCACACAGGACTCTAATTTAGGAGTCTCTTGAGATTATAAATTGAACACATAAACAAAACTAAAAAAGAAGTCATAAAAGGATTGAAGTTTGCTCATTTAGCAGTCCAACACCTTGACTTCTCTTCTTCAACACTCCTAAACCCTAACCTTCTTCTTCCTTTCTCTCTCTCTAAATTCATCCAAAACCCCCTAGAAAATTCAGAGACAGACCCCTTTTCAGGACCCATATATATCGGGTACCCAAACCCTAAACTTTTAAACTTGAAGTTCTCTGTTAAAAAGTTGAGAACTTGCTTCCATGGAAGATCATCATCAGAAGGGTAGTGATGATCACAAGATGGATGACATGTTACCTGGTTTCAGATTTCATCCAACAGATGAAGAACTTGTTGGATTCTACTTGAAGAAGAAGATTCAACATCGATCTCTTTCCATCCAGCTTATTCAACAAGTCGATATATACAAATATGATCCATGGGATCTTCCAAGTAAGATAATATTTATATACTGTATGCATATGATATGATGTTTGAACCTTTGACCTCCTGAGAAATATTGGGTTCTACTGATAAACTCAGATGATTGAATATCGTATAATTGAATTATTAAGACTTGTAGTTTGTTCGATATATAGATTTGGCTCCGTCGGGAGAAAAAGAGTGGTACTTTTATTGTCCAAGGGATCGTAAATACAAGAATAGCACACGACCGAATCGTGTCACGGGAGCTGGTTTTTGGAAGGCTACGGGCACCGACCGCCCGATTTACTCGTCGGATGGAACTAAGTGCATTGGTTTAAAGAAGTCGTTGGTGTTCTATCGTGGTCGAGCTGCAAAAGGGATAAAAACGGATTGGATGATGCACGAGTTTCGACTTCCTACACTTGCGGAACCGGCATCGGCTAAAAAGATTCAAGATAAAAACATTCCTCCAAATGTAAGTCTCTCGGTATTTCGCTCTACAACAAAATCGGCTTTATTGGACACCATATATATACGTCTTAATGGTTTAAACGCTGACTTAAGCTTATAGAATCAAACAATATGTATCGATTTTGGTTTCAGGATGGTTGGGCAATATGTAGGATATTCAAGAAAATGAGTTCGATGGCGCAACGAGCACTTTCTCAGACGTGCGTATCTTCGTCGGAGTTCTTCTCGCCGGCGATGAACCACTTCAGTCCGGAAAACATCTCTTCCATAACTCATCATCATCTTTCAGACATCACCGACTTAAAGCCATCTCCAACTTGCAGCTTTTCCGATCTTGCAATCCCATCATCATACACATCGTTAACTCAAACCACTTATAGCAACCAATCTCCATTTCTCCCATCACCCTTCACGGATAACCATGGCGGATTCATGCTTTCATCCGCGGATCCAACTGCAAATGTTGGTTCAATGGTGATAAATTTGGAAGGTGGAAGCAAGAATTCTGATCAAAGCATGGGACGGGGACAGCAATTTCAAGCTTTTGATAACTTTGCGGTGAACCATTATTGTGATCAGGAGCTGGGAAGTGCTGGGTTTCCGATCAGTTTTCCGGCGACTGGTGGTACAGATGAATGGAAACTTGATATGTCATGGGATTCATCACCTCCTCCATGTCGTAGTGAATCCACTACTTATTCCACAAATAGGTATCATAATTGAGAAAAAAAGACCCATTTTTTTTAGTTTTTTTCTGTGAAATTTGTTTAAAGTTGGCCGGAAAAGTCATCATGTTGGGTTTTCCGGTGATACATATCATGTATTTATCGTTGACAATAGAACCGTGTATATATAGTAGTTGTAGGCTGTATGTATGGTTAAAGACAATGAACGTCGTCGTTTAGTTCTGGATATATTCTATTAGTTATATATTTATATGGTGAAAACGGATAACAGCAAGTCAAGATGGCCGAGTTGGTCTAAGGCGCCAGTTTCAGGTACTGGTCCGAAAGGGCATGGGTTCGAATCCCATTCTTGACATATTCTATTTAAATCTTTGCCTTTTTACCCTTGTGAATAGTTAAAAGAGACACCAGATACAAAATCATTTAAAGGTTTTAGAATTATTAAAAGACAATTTTTTTTGCCAAACAAGATTCATCTCTTAACAATTCAGAGACTACATCTTAATAAAACTATTAAAAAGTAAACAAACAACTTCTAACAATTAGAAAACATAATTAAAGTAATTTCAGCTTAGTTCAGGTCGAGTCAAACTTTTAAGAGGTAAACAAACAACCTTTAAATATTTTAGGAACCATTTTCCTCAAATAGCCAAAGTTTACACTTAAACTTTACGCAAAAAGGATAATTTCCGCCTAAAGTGTATTTTCAGACAAAAAAAAATGTAAAAATACATTTTTACGCAAAAAGAAAAATATTTATGCAGAAAAGGGTTTTTGCGTGATTTTTTTAAGGAAAAGTTATACTTTATACTTTCAAAATTAGTTATTTAATTTAGTTTATATCTCTTACTTTTTCATTTTACACATTTATTATATTAACACACATAATTGTATGTTAACTAAAAATACATTGAAAAAATATGTTACTTTTTTACAAATTAAATCATTATAAATCATCTCGCTAATATCTTCGAAATGAACCCAATATTAAAATATTTTTGGATTCAATCTTATATTAATTATACTGCGAAAAGCAATCAAAGGGGATAAGAAATAAAATATACCCATAAATTTAATCAACCCTCATTGTGTTTGTGACACAAATTAATAACAAATAAAATATACCAAAAACTGTTATGTCTTGTCTTAATCGTATCAAACATCTGATAGATAATTCGTCTGATCCAGTCTGATCAAGTTCATCCAGTTCAATCCAATCCAATCCAATCCAGTTTGGATACGAGACGCTACCTTTATACTTTTGACAAAACGAACATAAAAAAACTAACAAGGAAAGAGCAAAAACGAGGGTTCTACACGAATCTTTCTATTAAAAAACCTAACTTTTTTAAGTTGATTCTGGCACCAAAATAACTGATGTGAGGTTAATTTAGACATTTGTAGTACCCTTGCCACTAGTTTCAAATCTACTTGACACAAAAACCGTAACACTTGATCATCTGACTCATTTTCTTTACACCTTTTAAACCTTTTCAGTATGCAATTTCCACTCCTCGATTGCTCTTTCAACTTCCTTTCCTTCTGCAATAAAAAAATTAACGGTTAAAAGTGTTACAATAAGTTGATAAGGTGCTTTTTGGGTGACTGAACAAGTTTTTTAAGACAATTTTGAAGTAAACTGTTTAAATGTCGTAATAGACTGCTTAACACTTAACATGATGTAAGTTAAGTTTACGGGACTTAACATGTCTGCATCCTATGTAAAAGTGTTACAATAAGTTGATACGATGCTTTTAGACGTCTAACAAGTTTTTTAGAACAATTTTAAAATAGAATGTTTAAATGTTATAATAGACGGTACCGAGTAACAGTTAATAGCACTTGAATTAATAGGACCAAACAATTATACGTTATATGTAAAGATGTTACAATAAGTTGATATGACACTTTCGAGTGTCGTAACAAGTTTTTTAGGACAATTCTGATATAAAATGTTTAAATGTCGTAATAGACTACTTGAGTTTATAGGACCAAACAATTGTGTATTCTATGTAAAGGTGTTACAATAAAATGATATGACGCTTTTTAGGACAAATTTGAAATAAAACGTAATATTATTCTTTTTTTTTATATGGCATTTGAAAAAAGTCTCTTATAAAGCAGTCAATTAGAAGATTTAGGTGCCGTTTACCAAACGCTTACCCGAATAAGCGCTTACCAAGTCAATTTACTTTAACGGATGAATATGAGAACGACTAAGAATCTTACCCGGTAAGAGCAAAGGTAAGAATCGAGAGTCTTACCCAGTAAGTGAGGATGACGGCTCTTACCATGGTTAGCGCTTACCGGGATAAATTGTTGCATACGATGCGTTTTAATGAATAAAATCTTACCTGATAAGTAAGCGATAGTGTTGACTTTTACCGGTAAGTGCTTACCGAGTAAGTGTTCAGGTAAACGGCCCCTTAGACATCTTTTGACGTAATATAAAGCCGATTTTGTTAGAGTGAAGTCTCTTGACTTAACCTTGTGTAAATCCTTTTGAACCTGCATGAAGAGGCGGGAATCCTCGGGTTTCTGAAACTCTATTGGCGTTTTTCGTGTGTCCTTATCGGCACGAATGAAGCGCCAGAAGAGTCTTATGGATTCTTCTAGAATCTCGACTAGCATGTCACAACACATGCCATTTCCATCCGCTTGAATTCTTGTCTTTCTTCTGTTCTTCGAACCGTCTTCTGCATTGTTTTGAAATTTTAAGAATTAAGATGAGTTAACGAGTTAAACGGCACAATTAGTTTGAGAAAACTAGCACTACGATAAATTCAACTTTTCTTGTATGCCAAAAATGTCTAAAGGCCTGTATGTTAGCAACTTAATGAATTTAATGAGACTCGCAACTTATTCGGTCAGCTAAACATGAATTTTTAGCAGTGACTTAAGATATAGAATGTGACTTATTCAGTAAGCTTCCCGGGGGAGCTTTATGCAGAAAAACAAGTTTTTTTTCTTTCCAAACTTGACCCTCTTAATTAAACAACACGCTCTTTCCATATACGAAAAAACCCTACTAGACAAAAACCTTCCAAATCTATATAGATAGATTGATCCCCACATGCAGCTTTATCTATACATGACTTAATGGAAAACCAACCAAACGACCAAGATCCAAATAGACTTCATAAGACTTACTTCTATAAGACCAAATAATTGTGTATCTTATATATAAGGGTGTTACAATAGAATGTTATGACGTATTTGGGCATCATAACAAGTTTTTAAGGACGCTTTATTTTTCGTATTAGCTTTTTACAAGACATGAGAAATGTCTTTTGAACTCATTTTTTTTACAGGATACTTGTTTTTATAAGACATTTTTTCTAATAGTTTCATATAAAAAGACCAATATGACTGTTTTATTTTAAAATTGTTCTAAAAAAGTGTCAGGATGACCAGAAGTGTCTTATCAACTTATTATAACACATTTACCTAAGATATACAATTGTTTGATCCTATAAACTTAACTTTTATAAAACATTATATGACATTTAGACTATGTTTGCCAAACTAGCTGATAAACAAATCATGTTTGATAAAAACTAGTTGATAAGAATGTAAAATGATAAAAAAAAAAACATCTTGAAAAATTAATCAATTATAATATTTTAAACGGAAAAGTTCCAAAAAAACCCAATGATTCTCATTTTGAATAATTAAATCCCTGAACTATTTTTTTAACTGAAAAACCATTGAACTTTCTCATTTTGAATAATTAATTCATAGTCTTTCAAAAAAAAATTAGTAATTAAATTACATATTTTATTAAAATTATTTAACACAATTCTATTATCTATACAAGTATTAACTTTAATTTTTTATGTTATCTTTAAATTTATAT